TGTTTTATAAAGAAAACAGACTAGAAAAAGGTTTAGATACCAATCATAGATTGCAGAACCAGTGCTAAAGGGCAAGGAAAAATTTTTTTTAAATGCTGAAATCATTTTATTCTTAGAGGGCACTTATATATAGTCTCAAATGTTCTCTTTAATTTTTTCAATTCACAAATGTGATTTTGCCATCACGATAAGACAAGATGTCCCCGGTAGGTAAGGGGTTAAAGTGTAATGTTTAATAAATGACATCAACCTAATAATTTTTAACCAAAGATAGGAAAAGGTATATATATGGAGTAAATGTAGAATGCTGTGTAACCATAAATATCTGGAAGATTTGCTGTGCAAGAATCTAGGTTTTACCACTTAAAAAAGTATCTCACATAAAATTCTCAATTTCAGAATGTACTTACTTTGATGAAGCTTGAAGTTAGTGTGCATCTAATTTTAAAACAAGAGAATAGTTGAAAGTCAAATAAATTTTTGATCAGGATGAGTCCACCACTTCAAAATACTAGACTGATTTTCATTAAGAATTAAATTGTTTCTGTATTTAACTCATTAACTTTCTCTCCACAGACACCTTTTTTGTACATATCACAAGGTTTTAATGAATTACACTGAAATTTTCATTAAACTACTTTTTGTTCGTGGTATACTAATAAATATAGCATAAAAACATAGCAAGTAAACCATGTTTTAATTGTATATAAGTTTTAAGATTTTACTTTTATAAGGCAATATATAAAAAGAAATTTAGAAATTTCCATAGTGTGAGAATTATGACATTTGCTCTCAAGACATCTCTTCTTCTCTAATTTATTTACCACCCCTCAAAGAAGTAAGAAATTTAAGGTAAATTACTCATTATAATATCAGCATTGCTCAGGCAAAGGATAATTTTCATAGCCTTCAATCTTGTTTGGTTACAGAGCCATGCAATAGACAATCAGACCCCTTTTGCCATGCCTACCTGTCACATCCTCTTTTCAGAAATTGACAATAGTTCTCTCTGACATTCAATACTATATTATTGATAATCAATAGAAAACTGAGGTTTTCATTTATTAATTAATTAAATAATAAATTAGTGCACTACTACCATTAGTATAAAAAAGTAGGGTTAAATGTCACCAATAGTTGACAGCAAAAAAAAAAAGACCCAGGTAAGTACTTTTTTGTTGTTTTTCATGTGTAAACTTTATTTATTATTACAAAAGTAACTAAAATGTAAAAATAGGAAATTTGTAATTCATTTAGGAGGTTTTAGAGATTATGCAAATAAAATTTAAGATTTTTGAGATGAAGAAAAGTATTTTTAATCTTAACATGAAAATTACTTTGTACTTAGACTACTATATATATGCTTTAGTAAAAGTACTTCATTACAAAATCTGATTTTTGATCTACAAAAGTCTTTTAATGTTCACTAAAAATCTGCCATCAAATTTTGTGAAGATACACAAAGTGTATTAAAAGTTTTAGTATGGAAACTAAAATGAGTACAGTCGATTCAACTGACCTTGTAGTGAGATAATTAAGATAACCATGTCTGAAAAGACTCCAGTAATTCATTTTATAACTCATCTAGACACATGGGGAACATCATCTGACAGAAAGATCCATTGTGACTCTTAATTGTTTATAGTTATATGATGGTAACAAAGGTGATTAAATATATTTTTGGCTTTGCTTCTTTTTGATATATAAGATTAGTTTTGTATTTTCTAATAAAGAAATCTAACTAAAGGAATGTTAATTGTAGACATTCCAATTTTGCCTCAGATACTAGCCTTTTAGTTATGTGCAGATCTTAAAGTCTATTAGTATTGAATATGATATGGCTATAATATAACTATTCTAGGAACAGAGACAGAGTGAGATGTTGAACTTGGTTTTTCCTTTATAGTAAAGAGTATTACATGTAATAAGAAATTTTCTGTATAAAATTGCTAACAGAAATCTTGTTGATAGTTTTATGAATTTACTTAGCAATGTCTATATAACTGTGAAATCAGCAAAATAAAATATCAAAAGTATTATTGTAATGAATATCAATCAAGTTGAAACTGATTCAATATATAAAATGAAACTATCTGATCAACATTTAAAAAATTTAAGTTCTGAAAGCAAAAGGAAATATTTTTAATGGCTTTTTGGTTTATTTTTCAAAAATGTCTCACAACAAAAAACTGTAGAAACTAACTCAAATTTTATAAAAAAATTTAAAGCTGAAAATAGTTACTATTTAGTACGTTTGTTGTAAATTTTCAACAATTTGATTAAGTAATAAAAAAATTAATGGGATACCAGTGATACCCTTCTGGTCAAGAAAGAGTTAATGCCAGAATGCTACAATGCCCACCTATGGGATTACATGGACACAACTCGACCCTATTGAAAGTCGGCTACAGATTGGATATCTCTTCAAGTAAATTTACTCCAGAGTTGGAAATGGTTTCTTTTAACTAGCTGCCTTCCTTCTAATCTATCAGTTCAAAATTAGGGACAGCTAGTATGGAGAGAATACCTGAAACAAACTGTTATCTTCAAGACTAACACTACATGTGTATTAAATAATAAATTTCTATAAGCTGTTTGTTCCATATGATTCATCATGTAACTTTGCACTTTTAATTTATTTTTTTCCATTATTTATTAAACGTACATTTATCAAAACTGTAGTTTAATGTCATGTGTACTCTTCTTGCTGTTTACTTCTAAGAAGGTAATGTTACGTTTAATCATTTACAGACCGAGGTTCAGTATTATGCCTATTTTATATTTTTATTAATAAGCATTAATAACTTATAAAATGTCACCAACTCTGAAAATAAGTTTCAAACACATGACATGATATCTATGAAACATATATTTGAATTTTTTGGTCAACTTATAATCTATAATACAATCAAAACCACTACATAATGTAGATATGTACTCTGTCTTTATGCATGTGCTGTGTAATGGTTGAGTTGATAGTCAGTGTTGATACTTGTATAATGTTGAGCTAATGATGTTGTAATCTAGGCCATTTTATTGAAACAAATGGAAGAATAAAAAAATTATCTAAAGCATTAGTACTAATAATGATAGATAGTTTTATCTCATTCTGTTTTCTACTTAAAACTTATTTACGGCCTACTTTTAATAATATGTTTAGCATCTGCAAAAAGACAGTCGTATATTTTGAATGAGTTTAGAGTATAATCCTAGCATTGAATGCTGACTTAGCCTTGAGCTATATTTAAAAACTAAAGTTACTGTACACAGAAAATTAACTAACAAGACAATTATTTCATTAACATAAATTAACATGCAGGAAAACTCATTAAGTTACTACCTTTCCATAGCTTACAAATAAAGAATACCATAACTAATGACAGCAAAAAGTACTGTATCACGTCCTCATATGTTCACTCAACTTGAGGCATTATAATAAATTTGAAATTCTTGTGTATCTTGGTAAGGAAGGAAGCTCTATGGCAAATGGGTTGCAAGAAAGAAAATAATCCCCACTTGTCAGATGATATATTTATGGTTTGACAACTTCAGAAACAAGAAAGTTAAAAAAAGAAATGTGCAGATAGGTGAATTTTGCTGTTCTTGAGATCATCAACTTCAAAAATTCATTGTTTTTAAATTATATGAGCTAAAAATAAGTTTCAAGGTTGTTGAAAGTTCATGCATTTCCAGCTTTGTTTCTTCTGTTGACAAGTTGTGTTTGTACAGGCAGAAACCATAATGATTTCCACCATCTAAATAAAAATTCCAAAAAGATGTCAAAAATTAACAGTTAAGAGTTAGAATTCAATTTTGTTTAGTTATTTTATCTAAAACAAATGTTAGTAAAGTTATAATAAAAATAAAATTTTAAATCTCAACATTCCAGTTATAATTTTTTTGGAGAATATTTGTGGGGATACACCATCAATAATTTTTCAAAATTTGTAAGTTGATTGGTCTCCTAGTTCTTGGCTTGTGAAACCTACATCAGATTACCAGTGCCAACCTTAAGTATGGGGAAGCCAACTGCTGTTCAGGGACTCATTCTATTTCAAATTTTTGTTATCACAGTTGTTTATTCTTGTAAAATAACTGTTAATTTGAACTTAAATTATAAAATATTTCTTTAGAGGACCACACCATAATCCTTTACTACTGCTTTGCCTATTAGAAGACTATGTTATGTGATCTTATTATTCTGCTGGTTGAGTACTTGCACTTGTTAAGAACAGGGCTGCAGGTGATTGATTTTGAAACTTTGAAAATATATTCAAATATATCAGATATTGTAGAATCAATGTAAGACTAGTTTATAGTTAAAGTTTTAGGAACAATTTAAAAAGTACTTACGAAAAGAGAAAAACAAATTTATACACTGTATTTCAGTACCAGTCATTTACACCAGTAGTATAGGACTGCAGAACTAATGGTATGTTAGCAAAGCACAATGCCCATAAAACACTCATTGTATGCTATAATATACAGCTGTATGACTGTGGGTAAAATAATGCCATATGTGTTAAAAGTTCTACATGCTGCTGTTGATGTGTGAAGAAGTTGTATAATAATTAAATAATAATTGTAGTCTGTTGCCTTATGAATAATTTTAACCATTTCTATTTTCACATTTCCAGAGGATATGTATCGCCTTCCTCTAGAAAAGATATCAATGGCTTCCATTCCTGCTCAGGTTATCAGCTATGATGATGCTTGGAAAATCTTAATGTAGGTGCTGTCATTATCTACTCTATTACTAATGTGTTTAACTTGTTTTGATATCGTTTATGTAATACCAGTGAAGATTAACTTGTGAACTGTAGTTTTTATCAGATTTATTTTGCTAATATACTTGTGTTTCATGATTTAAAATAGGGTAATAATTGATGAAGAACAGTTCATTGTCAGTTTTCTTTGGCTTCATATTAAGACTCAGAATTGGTTTGGTCTAATGCCATCTAAACAGCTATGTAAATAAATAAAGGGATTTCAAAAATGTTTTGTTTTTTGTTTCATATGTATACACATTTCTGCATATTTGGTATAAATTAATTTCATGCTGTGGGGCAAGACGAAAGGAACTGGATTTCAATGGAAAAGATAGTCACTGAAAAGATGTCTTTTTCTCTAATACAGAATGGTGCCAGCAGTTAATAATCACGTTGGGAAGTACACTAAACATCATAGAAAACTATCAAATATGTTCCAAAGCTGAATACATCAGTGAAAAAAAGAAAAATATATAAAAAACTTGCCTTTTAACTTACATATTACAGTTTTTAAACGATGGTGAAATTCTTCTCTTCGTTTAGCCTGATAAAGGAAAAACATATAGTGAGCCTGACAAAAAAGCCATACCAAAATCCAATGGTGCTATCTAGCTGCTTGAAAAGTTTTGATTGGAATTGAACCTGTTACAAACATAGGTCATAGCTGAGTGGGTTGGCTATGAAATGTGCAAAAAATTAATCAAAAGAGTCACTAATATAAGCTTGTCGGATAGAGCTTATCAAACCTACCAAAATTCTGTTGACAATATAGAATATAGATTGTTTGGAAGTTTGTGCTTTGGTTAAGTTTGTTTTAAAAAATGGATAAAATTTTAAAAAAAATGAAGGGAAGAACTTAATGGAAATTTGAAAATGGTAAATTTCAGGTTATTTTTCAGGACAGGAGAGACAGGTATGTGTCTAAATAGTAAAAGTAATATTTATTTGTTAGGATATATATCATACTGTAACACAGAAACATTTATTTTTTCTTTGTTTAGCCTGTTCTCTCCCTACAATATATTTTAAACAAAAAAATGTAATGTGCCAATTTTTTGTCCACAGCAGCAATTAATTTATTTGTAAGTAAAACATAACATTAAATAAGATTTTCAGTATTGCAGAACTACATTTGTGTTTTGTTAACTTCTCGTCAGCTCTCGTTACTATTACTAAAAAGTTGTGATGTGAAATGTGATACTAATTACAGCCTGATACTATTGGTAAAATGTAGGTTACATTTATTTATGTGTATTATAACTTTTTTATTTCTGGCAGGTGTAGTTGCCTCCAAATATGTGATGTTGTTTAATATTAAATGTGTTTAAATTATAACATTCTCTACTTTATTACATGCAGTTATTCAATTATCTTTACAAAATTATGTTATAACATTTTCAGTGTCACCAAGAAGCATTTATACTTTTGATCATAGATGACACTTGTTTAAGACTGTAACAATGTGGCTTTATTCAATGGAAATTAAACAAGCACAGAAAATTAATTTTATACTTAAACAATCCATAATTAGATTCTAGATAACTCTCTACAGTCACATACACTCTTGAAGCATGAACTGTCTAGATGTTCAATAACATATTACTAAAGCAAGAACAGTGTTCTAATCACTTTCAATAACTCTTGCTAGTATCTATAGACTAGCAAGTGTTTTCTTGCATTGGTGAAATATATTTGTGTGTGTATATATATAGGTGCATTATAGTGCCAAAGTGTTGGTATGATACATTCTAGCTAACAGTAGGCTTAACATAACTGAATTTAAAAAGTGCGCTGTCACACACAGTTTTGTACTGCAGCTGGACACATTCATTACTACAAGAAATTACATGCTGCTAGATGTCATATAGGTTGTTGCTTATAAGCTGCTTATCATAGCTTTGATATAAGACCTTAGCTGTCATGGTGTTCTGAGTTATAAAGTTGGGATGAAGAACAAAGGAAAACAACAATGTAGTGGAAAGTGCAACCCTTGGTTTGAGAACAGTCTGAAGAGCATTTTGCGTATGATCAGGTCACTGAAGTTATGATATGTAGTAGGGAGGGATAGTACAATAATGTGAATGTGTTTAAAATTAGTTTAGAGTTAGCTTACTGATAACAGTAAAGACAGCCTTGAATCCCTTGGCATGTTGTAACATTTTAGAATATGCTGTACTACTTACATTGATGGATTTCTACTGAGGATTAATTATATTTTGCATGAATAATGTCCTAGATTCCATATTGCCCCAGAAACTACTTCCTCCGTCATTGATTATGCTAGTATAATGGCCATAATTAAGCACTGTTGTTCAACAATACAATTTACATTGTAACAAGTTTCTATGAATGATAGCAAATTGATCATATGAATTACATTTTGACAAACCTTCCACAGACCCTTCACTGTATATGGATGTCATCAGCTTCCAAGACCACACTTAAATAGTATTTGATCTAATTGGATTGTTGTTTTTTCAGTTTCATCAGCCATCTTTCTCATGAGTACAGTCATTAATTTTAAATTGTGAGTGGAAGTTTGAAAACCTTTGTCAATTTCAAGTCCTTGTTTACTATACTATTAAACCAGAAGATATGCCTTGCTTTATTATCAAGGCTTTTGGGATTAGAATAAATTATTTTCCAACTGTATGGGCATTGCTCCTAATTGATTTGAGATGTACTTTCTGAGCATTGTTGGAGGTTATAAACATGTTTTTGTTTGTGCTTTAGAAGTTTTATGGAGAACATTAAATTGCTCTTTTTAGAATGCTGTGTCCTTTAATTGTGTATCATTTAACAATTATAATATAACTAATAATAATCCCTGTAAACTCCCACTGGAGCATAGGGCTCCAACAACACCTCGCCGACGGAAGTTGTTGTTGCAGTAATTTTTTTAGCAGGTTGGTTTTTACGGGGCGGAGTTGCTAGCCCCGCGCCCAACCCTCCTGCTTTCTCATCCTGGACTTGGGACCAGGCAATGGTGGTGGCATCCCTGCACTATAGGGACACCAATTAACAATTACTGTAAAAAAAATATTGTTTCTTCTGGTGACATTGTAGTGTTAAATAGTCAGAAGTTTGCTGTGAACTAAATTTAAATAAGTGCTAAATAAGTCACACACAATACCATGATCAAAATTTGCAGAAACATACTCCTGTATTAGAAAAATAATTCTTTTAACCTTCTACTTGGGGCAGAATCACACCTCTTTCAGCATAATAATATACTGTGCACACACTTTCGAGAATCTTCCATGAGCTTATAGAAGTTATTAAAAATATTCAAAAAATATTTTTATTGTAAAAAGCCATTCTAAAACATGACTTCTTCAAACTATAGATCTTAAAAGAGTTTCATATCTGTAACAGAGATATACATTAGTGTTAAGAACTGTGTGACATATCATGATTGTCCAACAGGTGAGTAATGTTGAAAGCAGAAATGCTCGGCTGGTTAACTGCATCACAATAGGGGGGAGGAAACTAAACTAGAAGGTAGAACATAGTTTGGTGGTGCTTGTTATAACTACTTGAGTTATTACCAGTTAAATATAGTGCCTGCACACTAATTGGAAGTTTGAAAACAGTAAAGTGTGTCCATGTTATTTTCCAGCTCTGTTTTCATGGGGTGTTTATTGTCAAACCATTGTTATTTTAAATAGCTCAGGTAATAATGTTGATGCTCATTTTATATGTTGTTTAAATTTTCTATGAAACATGATTGTTATATAAGTCATATAGTCTGTAGGTAGGTTGTTGAACACCATACACTTGTGATTCTTCAGCCATGGGAGCATTATAATGTGCTGCTCAATCCCACTGTTTGTTGGAAAAGGTGGTGTTGACTAGCTGCCTTTACTCTAATATCTGTCACTTCAAAATTAAGGATGTCTTGTACAGATAGCCCTTGAGTAGTTGGGGCAAAATATAACAAATAAATATTTTATATTGTTTTGATTTTCGGACAAAGTAGATTATTCTGAAAAATTAAATATTACTCATTTACACTGCCATTTCCTTTATCAGCTTTTAGAATAATTCTAGAGTCAATTACAATTATCATAAAGGTTGAGAAATTAAGAATTCTCTGTTCATCTTTTGTTAGTTTTAGAGTTTCAGCTGTAATAGAATGGAGTCTGTTGAAAGACTGAATTTTAAAGTTTTTGCAATACATATGCTATTGTTTAGTTTCATGTAATCTCTAAAACTTTTAATAGACTGGCACTCTATATGAAACATTATGTTTATCTGTTAACTTCCCTTACAGACACATATGGTCTCCATGATTTATGTACAGTATGCCATGCTTGATTGTTTTAAGTATTATGTTTGTTATGTATGGAAGAAATATAATGATTCATTTTTAATTATTTAACATAAGGCACTTGATCAAAATATATAAATTTCAATGAAACATGTTCTAATGCAAAAACTGGTTATATAAGCATGACTGTTTTGTAATCTAAGGGATAAAGAAAATGTATATCTCAAGATGGAAGTTATGTGCCACAGCTTTTAATATAGGGCTTTGATCTTGATTTGAGATAAAAACTATTGAAACAGTAGGGGCTAGAACTGATTTCTTATTTCAGTTTATAAATCCATCTGTTCTACATTTGTACACATTGAGATGAACTATCCACACTAAACCTTTGATTTTTTTTTTAATTTAAACAAAAAAGTCTGAGCAAAACATGTTTTTCAAAGATGAATAAATTACCTGAGAAATTTGGGTTTTGCATTTTTTTATCCTTACATTTTGAAACATTGTACTCATAGTTCAGATTTTGTTAGTCACCAGTCATAATTCTCCACCCTCTACCCACCCCACTTTTTCTGAAGTGGAGTGTCTTGCTTATGCTGTATCCCACAGTCCTAGCTTACCTACATCAGTGATTATCCTCATTATATATTTAAAGGTAGGTAAACGTCTTACTTTGTACTAACTCATACAAGTCTGGTTACCAACCCTGGACTTGAGTATGACTTACACTCCAGAGGAGCAGTGACATATAAACAGTCAAGCAAAATAGCTATTATGGTATATAACCTTTGTCCAAGTTAGAGGATTAACACAATTTTGTGACCTTTCACACCCTGTTTAAGAGGATTCATGTATCTGCATTCAAATATTTGCAAAAACACTTTGAATGTACCTGAAGAAAGATTTATTCTTTTCTAGTTATGAAAGGGTTAAATATAAACATTTCCTTTCCATCACAAGTATGACCTTGTTAATTTTTTTTTCTAGTAGGAGTATCTCTTATGAATATGATCTGACAATTATCATTAAGAACCTGAATTTTTATATTTGTACATTTTGGTACATTGAATCCAACCTTGAAAGTTGGATACTCTCTAGGAATGGCTTCTAAGCAACAGACATGTGAAGAAGCAGTCAGCTAGAGTAATATTCTTTGCAGACTTCTTGAGAGAGTTTGTTTAAATGTTATAGTTCTAGTCTAGGTTTATGTGCATAGTATGATTGTGGCATACCAAAATTTGGATGATTAAATTAAACTGGAAATGTGCATCCAATGTGTGTTGTATTATAAGAAGTAGATATGTTAAAGATGAATGCGTATTACATGTATTTCAATGAACCTTTTGAGATGGCCTATTGTATTATTCCCTTTTTTATTTGTAGCTCTAGGCATTTACTATATATATATATATATTGTCTTTATAAGATGTTCTCCTAGTTTGCGTTTTTGTTTATTTAGTGACATGGGAGGGCTTGCTGCTCCTGAAAGCTGGAAAGGTAGTTTGGTGAATGTCTCCTATAACATTGGGCCTGGTTTTGATGAAGCATCAGGTGCTAGGTTAGTGCTATGTTTAAAAGTTTGCAATTCAAAGATGACATTTTAACACACTAAAGAAATTCTGTAAACTTGCACTTAATAACAGTGTGAATTATTTAAATATGTTGAAAATAACAAATGAATTGGGAACAACTTTCTTAGAAACAGATAAAAGAAAATTGTGAATCTAAACCCAAAGTAAAACGTTCTTGTAAAATAAAAGCTATTGGTACTTATGTAGAAGTAGCTTAAAAAGTAACTTGTAGCTAAGCTATTAGTAACTATTTGCCAATCATGCAATGAAATAGTATTCATTCACTGGTTGTTTAGCCCTAGAACTACCGAGAAGTTTGTATGAATCTAATTGGTTTCTTAATACATTTTTCTAAATTATTTATACACTTAATTGTCTGTAAATTCATGACTTTTTTGGTTAAAGGATACTAATAAAATACAAGTCACATATAGAAATATAAACAAAAAATATCATCAGTATTACCATTAATCCCACTGATTGTTGCTTAAATTCCCTGTGTTTCATATATGTTTTTTAACAGGCAATTGAAATCTATATAAGACAGTATAGGATGATGTTATGTTGCATAAATTAAAAACATTTTAATTTGTCCTACATGTTTTTACAATCCTGGTCTGCCACCAATATCATGCAAGGGAATCAAAATGTTTTTAATTTATGCAATATGTTGTGGCCCTTTTAATTGTTTTATATTAAATTACGTGACCTAATATTTGATATTTTTCTTGTATATACTTCAGGCTATTAGGTTGATTTTTGTATTATCTTTTTTACAGTATGGTGAAAGTTCAGACCTTTAATGAACTACAGGAAAGAGAAATCCAGAATGTTATTGCTACCATACCTGGTAAAACTGAACCTGGTAAGTAAAGGCCTAACTTTGTATCCAAATTGAACTGTTGAAGTGGCATAACATCATTGTTTTAACAAATTAATAAAGTGGCAAAAAAGGAGGGTTGATTTGGACCCTGCTCATTTTCTGTTTCATCTGCTCACAATATTTAGAAATTGTACTCATTCTTGGTTTGTTTAATTACAAGAGATTAATACAGGATTTTGCATTCCTGCCATTTGGGGAATCAAGTTCCTTTTTATTATACTTCAAAATATAAAAATTTACTTATAAAAAATTTAGGTTTTTGAGAAATAATACATTCAGCTCTTTATAAATTAAAATTCTTTAAAATATTTTGAATTCCATAAGGCTAAATTATCTATTAAACTGGTTGCATCATTGTAAAATGTGAGGCATTATTTATCAAGTTGTGGGTATTCTGAGAAAGTATTATTAAACTATATTGACACATTAATTCCTAGTATATGAGCATTTTTCCTAATTTTATATTTATTAAAACATAAATATAAAAGTTTGTTAGAGGCTTTAAATGAAAACGTTGATATTTATTCCAAAATGATGTTGAGATTTGTCATTGCCTTATTTCTGTTACAATTCTAGCATTGTAATATCATTTTAACAGTTTTTTTTTATTTAATCCTGAACTAGAGGTTTTTGCTAGTTAAATGAGTTAAATAAAATTTAGTATTTACACAGTTATTAATTTTTTGAGACATAATATCAATTTTTATTATTTTTAGATCGATATGTTATTATTGGGAGTCACCATGATTCATGGAGTTATGGCAGTAGTGATCCAGGAATAGGTACTGCTGTATTAATGGAACTGGCAAGATCATTTGGACTTATGAGGAAACAAGGCTAGTTTTATTGCTCTTATTACTTCATCCAACATCATAGTAAAATAAAGAAAGAAAAGTTAGTAATATGGGTATCTTCCTTGGAAGAAACAGTGGTTTAATCCTGTCTTTTTTTATCAATTACCACCTGCTCAGAATACTAACAAAAAAGATTTAGGTTACACTCTTAATGTTCTTGGGATTAATTCAGAACTTTATGAAAGGGTCAGTGTCCAGTTGGAAAATCAAGTTCAGCATTATTATTATGAAAATTTATATATCAAAATGGTGACTGTTGTGTCAAGGTTATTTTCGGTAACTAGCATGTGAGGGTATTTAAGTTCATACATACAACTAAGGGCTTATTTCAACAGCATATAAATACAGTTAAGATAAAGCGATGTATTATTACTTTGTTTGGAAATTAGAAGGTAAACTTTTTTATTTTATTTATTAGTAGTAATTACTGACTTCAACATCTTAAAGTTATTTTATGTTGTTCATTCAGATGTTCTATTCTTGGGTACAACTGTAACTGACAGGCAAGTATAAAGTACTACAGTATGGAACTTTTTAAAAAATGCTTGTGGAAGAATAAAATGAAGTCAGACAACAAGAAACACGAAACAGACACAAATGTGTAACAAAGAATAAAAATCTCTATTAATATATGTACAAGTGTTGGTGTTCTTCCTTCACTTCTAGCAGTATTATAGTATATTTTGTTGGCCAACTTCCACTTTTTGGCTTAAACTCTAGCTGCTAGAGCAAGGAGGAAAGACTTCATCACTCAGTGAAAACAAAAGTAGGGGTTATGTATATACAACACTTTAAGGTCAGGCCAGAGTCCTAGTGCAGCACCCACAGTCAACAATTCAATAATCATCAACTTGGACAAACCTTTGAACCTCTTCTTTACTTGAGTATGACCTACATCCCAGGAGTGAGGTGATACAGAAGCATGGCTAACTCTTCTGAATAGCCACCATAATATGCAATCTTAACCTGAAGCAATGGATCAAACAATTTCATAAGTACCTGTTTACAAGTATAATAACTAAGTGTAGATCATTTTGGTGAAAAAGTTTATAAAAAATATTTCCAAGTATGCATAGATAAATATTAACCAGTTTTCAACTTTTATGCAAGTATGTGACTATTATGGGGTTTGAATCCCAATTTCAAGGGACAAGTTCTTCCTACCTCCCCATTGGTATGGTTGTAGTAACCTGTTTTATTTTTTATTTTCTTATCTCATATGTTGACAGATATTAATAAACTTAAAACAAATATTGTAATTTTTATATGTCTCCTTTTGTTACATATTTATGAAATTTATATTAAATTTAAAATTCACAAATTAAAAATGTAGGAACTTCTTGAGTTATACTCATTTATTATAATTGTATGGGTGACCTCATTTTAGTTCATTTGTAAAGTAAGAAATTAATGCATTCTTAGTAGTGATGCACTTTATTATAGTTTGGTTTGTATTTCTTATTTGTCAAGCCACATGCTATTTATGTATTAACATTTGAAGTGAAATTTTCTGAAGTTTAAATTGGTGGTAGATGTTTTACTTTTAAAATATTTTATGTAATATTTTATATGATAACATTATTTTGATACAAAATAATTTATTTTTAGAAACTGGATAAATTGATTTAGTTAGTTCAACTACTTTCTAGCTAGAGAACTACATAGTAATATAAGAAACAAGTTTCGTTTAGAAATGTAGACAGGTAATTATTGTCTGCAATTGTTATTATGTATTTTCACCAGCTTCAAAATTCAGCACTTTTTAGATCATTAAGACTTTGTTTGGAATATTTCAAGCTTGATTGTAATAATGAAACGAGTATTATAGGTTGGCAACCTGAGAGGACAATGGTGTTAGCTAGCTGGGATGCTGAAGAATTTGGAATTGTTGGGTCAGAAGAATGGACACAGGTCAGTAAAGAGAATGGCCTAATTTATAATGTTTATGTGTGTAATGAGCAATTGTTAAGTAACTTACCTAAAAATATATTGTAGCTAAAATTATATTAATTTTTTGTTTAACAGTAATTATGTTTATGTAATTGTTAACAGTTTATGTAATTGTTATTACTGTATGAGATCCAATTACATTATTCTTTTTTTGGCACTATACACCATACTGCTAATATTTAAAGTCCAAAAGACAGAAGATATTTAAATATTAGATAAAATTTGATAACATCATTGTTTATCCAAATAATATATTTGTATATGTAACTCAGAATTATACCTAGTATATTTGTATGCATCAAGGGTTAGTCCACTAAAATTAAATGTCTTTCAAAGCTGAAATAATATTTGAAAAAGAAAGAAGAATTAAGTTAATTTAATTTTAAAAACTAAAGTAAAGATGTTATTAATTCAGGCTTTTAAAGTTTAATTTTTTAGATATTAATATCTGTAACACTCCAAGTTGAATCAAATTTCAGATTCTAGAAGTGTTAAAATCTGTTTATGTTCTCACTCTCTGTGTTGGATAGTTTATAACCTTATATTTCTTGTCACTTTTGTAGAAGCATAATATGTTTCTTAGAATTACTTTTAAGAAGTATAACTGAACTTTATGTGGTAATGTATCTATCAAATAATGCAGTTTACTATATGAACACCATGAATTAATGGCCCCGATAATCATCGTGCTAGTTGTGGTGGTGTGGTTTAAAGTTTCTTTCATACATAAGTTTATGAGTTCAACAGTAAATAATGTATGGTGAAACGAATCATGTTCATTGCAAACATATCTCTTAGGTTGATTGTTGAATTATTTTAATTAATCTTTTCTGTAAAATGTGCAGCTTAACCTCTATATAGGGAGTCAAATATTTGTTCATTGAACATTCCTGAAAGATGTAAAAGAATTAATAGAAGTAAATAACTTTGAGAGTTTATAAAATTCATTATTAATCCTAAAATTATCAATCGATCATACAGAAATTGTAATGTTTTGGTTGCAACTTTGAGTAAGAGAAAATCTGCTAGATTAATTTTTCATAAAAACTTTACACAAGTTTAGGGTTCGATCTCTTGCTTTCAAAAAAATTAAGTGAAACTGACAAAATGTTGTTTTGGAATTGTCAACAAGTCTTCCCAAAGTAAGGCTACTTTTGCTTAGGGCCATTGCATTTTGACCTTATTACTGACTTTGCACTCTTAGTACTAGAGTAAATATCAGGTGTTCGTTGATCAATCGTATCTAAAGTCTATCAGTCACTGAACAATCTTAAGATAATAAAAGTAGTTAAATAAGAATAGTGTATCATTTTTTTTATTCCTTCTACTCTGCAGGTTTCTAACATTTTTGGACAACCACTCTTTCTGATTGAGTTAACTTCAACAGGACCCCCATTGTGATTCCTTGCACAACATTCACATTTCATGCAAACATCACACCTTCCAATTATTTATTGGCATAATATTGACACAAATGGGGGAAAGAACTAAGTTGCAATTAATGTTTTTTTCTTCATAGAAGTGAACCTATGAATGCAAAAGTTGTGTTCAAAAGCTCTCTGCTATATTATTGTTGAAAAGCAGTTTTAGTGCATTTAATCATTTTTTGGATATTGTGACAACCAAAACAGCCACTAATTTCTGTACAATCGACTCACAATATTAGGATTAATACTTTCTCCATATATGACTGTTTGCTAACCTGTTCTTCATAAAAGGGTTTTGGTACTTGCGTTATCCAGTAAACAAAAGCTATAACTAAAATTTTTGTATATCACACAAGTTCTCAACTTTGCTTAAAATTACAGTTAATTTGTTTTCCATATTGAAGCTATTGTTGTGCATTTTTCCAATGATAAGTTACTTCAAAGTTTTTTAAATAAAGATAAAAATAAAGTAAAATTATAATAGTTCCATGGCTGTGTATGATAGTAATATCAGTAAGTATTTTATTTTTCTGAGACTGAGAAAACTTTTCCAGGCTCATGATAAGGAGCTTTATAGCAGAGCTGTAGCTTACATCAATATTGATGCTGCTGTTACAGGTAATACATCTGTTTGTATCCTAGTATCTAACCGTGTTTTAGTGGGCTTAATATTATTAACTATAAGCTGGTAAAATGCTTGTGTACATCAAATGCATCTTCAGTCTTAATCTTAAGATGTAGACTTGTGTCATCAAGGATTTAGGCAAAGCTTTAGTTTAGCTTAAGATGCAGACTTGTGTAATCAAGGACTTAGGCAAAGTTTTATTTAACTTAAGATGCAGACTTGTCTTAGTTAAGCTTAAGATGTAGATTTGTGTCATCAAAGACTTAAGCAAAGTTTTAGTTAAGCTGAAGATGTAGGCTTATGTCATCCAGGATTTAAGCAAAGTTTTAGTTAAGCTGAAGATGTAGGCTTATATTATCAAGGACTTAAGCAAAGTTTTAGGTTGTTAAGGGTTTAGGCAACAAAAGTCTAGATGTTTCTATGAATTGTTTTATGTTAGGAAACCATTCCCTGGTAGCACTGGGTAGTCCACTACTTCGTCAAGCATTAGTAGAAGCCACTTCTCTTGTTCCATGTCATGACCCAACTCATCCTGATATGTCAGCCTACGAGATGTGGAAACTTCGCCAGCCACAAGACAAGAACAGACCCCAATCTGAGCCTGAGTATGTTTCTAATACATTTGTATAATTTATTTATATTTTAAATGTTTAGTATGTGTTTCGATATTTGATATAGACATGTGATCAGGATATCAGCTTAACAAAAAAAACAACCATTTATTTAATCAATTGTCATGTGATTTTGTTCTATATAACTTCTTTCCAGGTCATTGTGTTTATGTTTATAGCAATTAAGACTAGAAATACTAGAAACATAATACTTAAACAACAAATGAAGTATCGGACTTTCAGTATGTTTCAATGTTTCTGATTGTTGAATCTTTATCATAGGTGAGATTGGACAAAATGTAGAAGGTAAGATCAAAGAGAACTTGGCTGATGTTAATCATAAGGAATCCAAGCCTGTCATTTGAAAATCATTGTTTTTTTTTGTATAATATTTTGTTTTGTTCTTCAGACAAGCACGAGAAGCTGTTCCAATGTAACTCTGTAAAGTAACTTTCTTTACCTTTTTTTTAGTACTGATTTTTACTGCTTTCTTCTAGTGCATTACTGCTATCTCTCTCTCTGTAGGAAGTCAAAAACTGATAATTAATAATTTCCTTTCTTTTGTTTTTTTAATTCTTATGCTTCCTATTATATTTGTTATATGGATACATTTTATGTTTGTTATAGTTTTGATATTTATGTTTTTTCTTTTATAATCCACATGAGAAGAATCCTAGTATTATGAAGATACTCCTGTATATTGTGAAAGAGATGTATGCACTATTTGTTATATACACTCTATACACATGCCCTTCTCTTGCGGATGTCACCTGTTCAGTTGAGCACCTACAAACTGTGCCTTTTTACTGCAGCTGACTTCAGCTCAGTTGAGTCGAGGTGTGTGTGCACACACCATACCACTCTCTGTGGCATGACTTCTATGCCTTCCTCCTGCAGCTGGTGTCAGTTCAATAAAGTCTGATGGTAAAATTGAGATGAACACACAGAGTACAGTTTAAATGCACCCCAACCATGCTACACATATTGGCTCTCCGACTTCTTGTAAGCAAGAACTTGGATGGTCATGTTCCTGTTTTGCCTATTCCTGTGACATATGGGGCTTGTTTGCCTTTTCCTCCCTTTCTTTCCAAGCAAATAGAATACCCTGGAAGTGATGAGATGTAGTCTCCAATGGGTGTGTCCCCCTCCATTATGGAGCCCCTGCCATCAGGTGTCACACTCCATGGGCTTCCTTCAGACACTTTCAGAAGAGAGCTCATCCAGGTAAATCTTTGCAGAAGCCCCTCTACTGCTCCATTGTGGTAATTCTACCATAAATTTGTGCTGAGATGTGGTATTGTCTCGGAAGTTAACATTTCCAAAACATATCTACCTCCTCTAACACTTACAACTATTACTTAATTGCCAGGGTTTCTTCCTTTGCCCGTCTAAGTGTTGGTCTGATTTTTCTTTGCTTACTCCAGTCTTTTATGCCCCACTAAATTGCCCATGGCAATATATGTCTCATAACACTCCACCTACGTCAATGCGGTCTCTATCCTGGTACTGTATATAAGCACCTCATTCAGATAATGTTATCACTTTTTCTCGACAAAGCTTCACTAATGGGTTTCCCAGTGCTATGATCTTTTGGAGATACTTTCAGCATTCTCCGTGTTACCTAGTTGACTTATCTATCATTGTACAACAGTTGAGGGGAGGGTCACTCTCGGTTGGGACTGTTAGTGATCTTATTTGTAGTGAGATGGACTGGAGACATATATTGTGTTCCTTGATTTTTCTCTGGAAGCCTCTGAAGCTGCAATTGAGGGTGATCCTCGACATTCTGAAGATAATTTAGATTCGTTTTTTTCCTGTGCCTTCTTTTCGTCTGTTGGCTTATCAGTCTCCCTGTGGGACAGTGGTAAGTTTACAGACTTGCAATGCTGAAATTCAGAGCTCGATTCTTTATAGTGGACACAGCAAATGGCCCAATGTTGCTTTGCTCTAACAAAACAAACTTACCTGACTAAATGTTGTTCCAAACAAATGTAATCAACACAGTTTTCAAATGAAAAAAAAGAAGAGAGAGAGGGCATTTTGGGATAAGCTGCCTTTGATTTCTTTTCGTCAGTTGATTCATCAAGAGTGTGATGTTTTGGGCCTTGTCCCAGTTGCTTTTGAGCCTGCACCTTATTTGATGGCTGCCAAGTCTGAGAGTGAATATTTAGTTTTCTCTGTATCCAAGAGCAATGTGATTCATGCAGGGAGGTTACTTTTCAGTTATGTGAAAGGACACTTATGCCTTATCCGATCCAGTTATCAGATCTTCGTGATTTAGCCTAGCACCGCCAGATGGAAGCATTTTCTGACTCTCAAGTAATACATCTGCTCCTTGAATTTAGGTGTTCTAAGGCAGAGTTTGTAGTTAACCTGAATAGATCAATGTCTACAGACTTACAACTCTAAAATCCAATGTTTTGTTTTCCTTATAATAACTACACTTTGTTAAAAGACTCTCAGGATCACCAACTTCATTGATGACAAGCTGGAACCATTGTTAGCATGCACATTGGTTCAATTGTCAGCTTCAACATTCATCCCTGTTGTCTTTGGCATCTCGTAGTTCATCGGCTCCTACTGGGGGGTCATAGTTCCACACCTATTCGCGAGTCCCGACCCATGACATCAGCCTTGGTACATTGGTACCCAGAATAGATTATGTCTATATCCAAGGGTTCTGCTGCTTGGTCGGTTCTCTGCCAGCAGCATCAGTGATTATTGTATGCCTTTAGGGTCTGTGGGGGCTTGACTACAAGAATTTCTGGACTTGTGGTAATCTTAACCACTGATCCAGGAGCGCTACAGAATCTTGAGTCAGGATTAGTAATTCGGTTCACATCTTCACCACAAGTATCAATCCTACCTATAGGGTTTCCATCTCCTGCAGATCCTTTGGATTTAGAACTTAGTTCTAGGGCTATTGGACTGTGGTTGGTCTGGGGATAGCGATAGAGTCATGCTAGTCCTTCCCGGGCCTAAGAAGATAGGAGATTGCTGTCCAGTCATTGTTCTTTCTCATCTATCTCAATGCCTAGATTTTCCAAGGTTCACAAGTTACTTATTCCTCAATCTGAGTTGATGTTTTTTACTGAGATTGTGAATGTCCAAGTTCATTGTAGTCAGCTCCTATTTGCACATTGCCATAATGGTGGGATGTCACTCACCACTATTGGCGTTTTTTGTGCACATGGGTCAGGTACTGCAGTTCAGGGTTTTTACCTTTGGACTAGCATGGGTTCTGCTGAATCGTACGAGTTTTGTCTCATCCTCTCCATTCTATGGCACTATGCACACACCATGCCTTACATGACTGGTTACTGCTGGCACCATTTTGTCAATTGTCAGAATTTCACACCCCGCTTCTACTTTCAGAAACAACCAAGGGAGGCTTCATTCTCAGAGCTGAGACATCTATTTTTGGTCCAATTCAGTATTCATCAGTCTGTTTTGTTTTGTTTTTTCATCACATCTCTCAGTCAGGCTCAGCTGACTCCCATCTGGCTCCACGCTGTGGAACAGGAAGCCTGACTCTTACTCACCTCTTCTTCTCACACTGCACAGATGGTTCTTTCTCTCTGGGAATGTGGGCATCACTTGAATCTCTCATGCCTTTGAGAAGAGATCCTTTTAATGGTCTTTTTGTGACCAAGGGATCATAAACATTGATTCACTAGATTTCCCAGTTTTCTTAGTCAGGATCATTCTTTGATATTGAGGGGGATGTTAAGTCAGGACACTACTAAAATATGGGTTCCTCTGCCGCTACTTCATCCAGAGTTCTATATCTTTACAAATGTCTTGCTTCAGGGATGGGGTGCATATACCAACAGTCAGGAATTCCAGGGTCTATGCACAGACAACAAGGCATTCCTACACAATGTTTTAGTCCTTCTTGTTTTTCAAAAGGCAATGCCTCAGAACACGGGGCTTATTAACCGTTTTGCAACAGGTTAGGTATAAAATACATGAGTTCGTATACACATTTGCACATGTTAAGTGAGAAATGTAGTATAATTATTAATGCAGTTTGTGTATTTTCAAAAGATTTGGTAGACTTTTAGTAAAGACTACAAGTCTTTTGTACACAAAAAAAATCTGATATTTTAATGAAGTATTTTTACTCTAGATTTCTTTGTGAAAATATTGAGTCTGTTTCTTTACTAATCCCAGTGCAAAGTGATTTTTGTGTTATGATTAAAAATCTATTCTTCATCCCAAAAATCTCAAATATTATTTGTGTAATGTCTAATACCTTCTAAGTACATTTCAAATATTTGTTTTGTCTGTTATTTTCTTAACCCTAACTATACGGGGTCCGTCAATTTGACCAACCTCAAATTTGACCAACCTTAGTTAGGAAATAAATATAAATTATGCTTTTTTTCCATTCTAGAATGAATACAGATTATAACATGAAAACACAAATGTTTAGTCTAAATAGCTTAAATCTCATTTATATATATTTATTATTTTTATTACACTGACCTTCCAGTCATGCCTGGCTAACATTACAGAAGCTACAATGATGCGATTCACGTGCACTCATGTTAATGTATCCAAGAATATAAAACTGGCCTTTATAAAGTGACCTGTCTTGCCTGTGTTTTAGTGGACTAGCATTTTGTAAAATACAGTCACATTTCAATTATAATACATTATACATGTATATACATTATTACGATTTGAAAATAAGTTCTTTAAGTTATTTTTTCTAAAACATAGAACAGTAAATGAAGTATAGCAAACTATTATCTCTTCTAGTTATGATCTTTGTACTCGGTTGCTGCTTGCCATAGGTAACTAATCCTTATCAAATTTTGCACATGGAAGATGTGAAACAAAATAGTTTTTTTAGGTTTCATATATACATTTGAAATAATCATAAATTACTAAATCAATACCCTAGAATTCCACTATAATTTATCAAACTTAGTAACTAAGTTGAATTTGGCTCTAAAAAAATATGAAGTTTCAAGTCGACTACAGACTCAACTTACCAGTTTGAAATTTTATATAAAAAAAAAGACTTGATGTTGTAATACTTCAGAATAGCTGAGAAAGCCACTAGGGGGACATTCTGAGTTTTCGATTGGTTATTCACATGTCATAGACAGAATAAACGTACATAAGGAAGTGTTTCCAATAATGGTAAGAGGTGGGCTGGGCCACTGTGAGTGTTTCAGTACATGAGCAATATCTCAACAAATAGAAAAAATAGGAGGTTCTTATTTTATATTCTAGGTTGTCAATATTGGTAATTTGTGTTCCTAATTCATACAAAACCATAGACTTTGTATTTGGACATCACAATCATATAATTTGAACCAGTGTTGCATTCAACATACCACATGACACACAAAAATCAATATTTAGGTGTGTTCTTTTAATATTTATTTTTAAATTAAGAAATTAACTTTTGTATAATACTAAAATTTGAATTATAATCCACAATTTTATACCAAACTTATTGACATAAATTCATAAAATAGTAGTTCAATAAAATTTTGAATATAAGTCAACAAATGCAATGACATGGCCTTTGACCAGTGACCCCTGGTGATAGGGTTAAGGGGACAATTGTCAGGCTTTACTCTGATAATTCAATGTTTCTCATTGAGGAGGCACTTAGTCCAGGTCTCCTTGTTTTTGAATCTTCGACCTCCTTTCTCGGAACAACTATCATATCACCCTACTAGCTTGCCATGTTCCACGTGTGATGACTGCATTAGCAGATCAATTGTCTCAACCCAAACAGATTCTTCCAACAGAATAGATGCTGCATTGCAAAGTTCTGTTCATATTAGATCATGTGAGATTATATGAGAGTCACCTCAAGGCTAGTTATATGCAAACTTCTAAGACAGACACACAGGAAAGATAGCTTAACTGTGTGAAGAGGTGTGTATCTATTGGCAATACATTTTCAGGTAAGGAAAATATTAACATTGAAAATCTGCCACTCATAAGCTTTTAAGTCATTGATAAATCTTTGTTTTTGTCAAGATTTTTTATGATTTATAGCCAAAAATGGGGACTACTATAGTTAAAAAATAAAATATCAAAAAAATATGTTAATGAAATGAAAATTAATCAAGTTGAAACTTGTTGAATATATAAAATGAAACTTTCTGATAAACTTAAAAAATCAATTTCTAAAGATAAAAAGAAGTTTGTTTTTACATATCTGTCTCAACAAAATTTTGGAAATTTCACAACTTACAAATGATTAGAAATACTTTAATCAAATTATGTTCATTTTTTAAAGCAGAAACTAGATGATGTTTTATAGTTACTTTTATACTAAGTTTTGTTCAGTTTAGTTAGGTATTTCTATTACAGAGTATAAGTGCTGCTCCTCTGGTCCAGAAAGGGTTAATTGTGTTCTCTCTATGTCAGAAACTTGCAGGTTACATATACATCTTTTAACACTTTAAGAGTGGTGGTGTTCCATCAGGCTGAGCCAATTTCTGTGAAGCTATACATACTAAATCTCTGAATTTATTATGTGTGTCTTCCTGAAATTTGACAAGCTTTTGGCAAATATTAATTGTCTTTTGAACACAAAAAGTCAGATAATTTAATAAAGTATTTTATTAAAGATTTGTCTGTGAATTTCTGAAGCCTTTACTGAACCAGCTGAGAGAGAAGTAATTTTCATGCTGAGAATACGACTCATCTACATCTACAGAAATTCCTAAATAAGTAACAAATTTTGTTCTGTAAAACTTTACACTAACTGTAGCAAAATCATCAATGTATACAGTGAAATGAAAAGTTAGAAGTTATGGAATACAATGAATAGTGCCGTTTTTTTTCCTCTACACTGACAGCAGTATTGATCATAAATAAAGTTTAGATTTACAGTTTCAACTATTTATATTTTCACTTTTAATTTTATTGTTTTATTGCTCTCAGTTATAGTCGTATCCACTAAAGTAGTAATTGTGGCATGAAAAGGAATATATCATTGCAGGAGTCCATTATCTGTTTCCTGTACAACTAAAGTAACTGCCATGTTATTTTTAGGTGTCCTGTTACACAGAGTTGAGCTTGGTGTTTTATTTTACTGAAGTTTTGTTATGCTAAGCTGAGAAGTTTATAATTTTTATGTTTTGATTATGTTTGTTAAAAAACAGAACAATATATAGAAAATATACCTAAAAACAAAAATTTATAACACTCGGTTATTCTCAAGGCAGTTTGCAATCGAGTAAATGTCCTTACATAAGCCTCATTGAATCTCACAAAAGGATTCATGTAGCTTTCAAGTATGCATTTTAGAATACAAAAAAATTATATAGAATGTCTCAAAATTACTATAATTTACCTGACTTTCTAAATAAGCTATAAATAGGTTTAAAAATCTCAATTAGTATTTTAGAGTAGCAGCATATTGATTACACAGCTAAAGACTTTGGTCTAAATTTGAACTAAATGAATTGGTAACTAGCCTCCTGTAGAGGAGATTGTACTTTTCCCATTGGTTCTGAACATGTCCATCAGCCTTGTAAAGTTGATTAGTCAGAGTAAGAGGGGAAGGGCTTTCTGGTGGGTTTCACAGATGTAGTGATACCTCAGTAAATCATGAAGATAGCAGGTGTAAAGTTTAGTTTCTTGTTTGCAATTATATATAGCTTGTGTTTCTAAATTATAGGAAACTGCAGTAGCCCATATTTGAAATTAAGAAGTTAAAATATTTGAATTACAAACTACATTTTCATGTGAAGTTTATTAACATACATATAGTTGGACACTGTTAAAAGATTAAAACTGTAGTCCAGAAACTTCCAGATTATTTTTGCAGTTAATAAGTTAAAACTGCACCTTAGGAGCTTCCAGATTACTTGTACACTGTTCATGTGTTAAAAGTTTTGCCTAGAATTTTCAGGTTATTTCTACAGTGTTAACAGATTAAAGCTGTAGCTTAGAAATATACAGACTATACATATGCTGTTAACAGTTAAAAACTGTAACTTGATGTTAAATTAATTTTACATTATTAATAGATTAAAATATAGCTGAAAAACTTCCAGATTACTTCTACATTGTTAAATGGTTAGAACTGTAGTCTAGGAACTCCTACACTTTATATAAACTACTAACAAACTTAGAGTTACTCTTTAACTTAGAGATTTATTGCATCAAACTTATGCTATCCAGAGATCACAATAAAATACTAAAAAAGATGAAGTCCAGTCTGTTATTTAACACACCACTTTGTTACACTGGTTTCAGGAAATTCCACACTTCAACAATAGTCCTGGAGAAGAGCAAATTTAAAAACAAGTCTGTGTTTCGTATAGTGGTGAACTTTGTATTATATGTACAGTGTTTTAGTTATCTTTTACTCACACAATGAAACTTTATTTATACAGAATATGAATGCTATTAATTTAATCTGAACTATCTGGCAAAATAGCTGTATAAGTTACTAAAAATAAATTAGCTAAATTTGTTTTCCCACAATGTCATCTAAATCTTATCTTAAGTTTCTAAAATTTGCAAATTGAAACTCAGTGTCATACCTTATAAATTTTCTATTAAATGTTGTGATTTTTTTTTAGTGGCTAGCCTCTCTTAATACATCTGGAACAAAGCTTGTTGTAGATATTCCATTTTACGTCTACTGTATTTGCAAAAAAGCGAACTTTTAATGGTTCAGTAATGATCATGTGGTGCTAAGTAAAACACAGTTTGATGTATTGTCATGAAAATTGTCCAGAATTTACTAAAACTGAAAGATTTTATGTTTTATATAGATTTCCACTTGTGTAAACACTAAAATAGAGCCAAAGGGAAGGTTGTAAGCTACATTTTTGTTTTAAATGGTTTATGATGAAATTTAGTAAATTTCCTAAATATTTTGATGTTGGCTGTTGTCTCTTACTAGGTCTATTTAATGCAGCTAACTAGAATTGGCAGTGTGTTTGTACTCTTTTAGAAAATGTTCCATTATGATTAATAAGGATATATACAAAAAATGGTAACAATATTAAATAGTCATTTTTTATTTCTAGAATTTATAAATTAGTATGGCTCATAATTCTATCAATACAACAGTAACCATTCAAATTAATTTGTATTTAAGTCATTATACATATGTATAGTTTAAATTTCTATAAGCCTTAGATGTCTGGTGTGTTCTGCCTTAGCTGCAGGTTACCTCTGCAATTTTTTTACTTTATCATTTATCCAACAGAATTAAAATAGCTGGATCAGGCAGTGACTTTGTGAGTTTCTTTGCTGGAAGAGGAATATCATCTGTTCATCTCCAGTTTGTCGGAGAGAATATGGTAAATTAAGTTATAATTATATTAACAAGTTTGTATTAAGGTAATGTGATTACTTGAACTTGTAAAATACCCCTCATTGATGTATTCTAAATGCAGAATTATAAGAACTTATGTTTTTAAAATAACTAGAGTATATGTAACTTTCACTGGCCATGATCAGACTCCAGTGTTGGTGCTAACTTCAAATCTGGTATTGTATTTACATCTTGACTTCAGTTAGTTTTCTACCATGTCATTGTAACCAGTGATTAGGAAATGTATATAAATTACTTCTTCCTAAAAATAAAAAAATAAAGATATAGCTAACTTTGCTCCTCAAGGTTAAATGTTTTCTGATGTCTAAGAAGTGATATAATTAGAACTGTATGTTTCAGCAAGAAAAAAAGGCCAGTGACCATACTTTGTTACATTTTTTCAATATCAGTAGGAACTGGTAACTTGAAATTTTTGATATGCAGAGTTGCAGCTGTGTCATTTCTAAATAAAATTATTAAAGGTTTTTGCTGTGTGTGTGAATATTGAACTTTTAAAGTATATTAAAATTATAAACAATCTTCAAATTGATTATATTAATTTAACTGGTACACAGTCTATATTAAGTATGTCACAAGATTGTATATCTTAACATTTTGATAATTTGGTCACTTGTACAAATGCAAAGATAGAATTACTACATTTTAAATAAGCATGTACATCTGATTTCAATATTCCAAAATGGCTGGTGGTGATGAGGTTACATAATTGGTGATTAACGCAATTTAGTTACTGTAAGTGTTTTTGATCTTGTAGATGGATTTTCTTGTGAGTCACATTGTATTTACATTTCCTTACTATTTGTAATTGTTGACCAGACTTTAAAATTAAATCTTAATTTTAACTTAACATTATCAGAATGAGCACCTGTATTTTACAGAACCTTGTAACCATGGTGGTATACGTACTATAACTCTGAAAGTACTTATTGTATCTTCACAAAATTTGGCAAGCTTTCAATAAACTTTAAACGTTTTTCTAAAACAAAAAAATCAGAATTTTCTATTAAGTATTTTACTAAAACTTTCTGTTTAATTATATGGTGTCAGAGTGTTGACTGCTCTGAGTGCAAAGTGATTTTCATATTAAGATTGAGAATACTTTCTTCATCTGAAAATTTTCAAATTTTGTTTGCATTATCCCTAAAATCTTTTAAATAAATATCAAATGTTTTTTGTTTTGTTCTTCAGAAACTTTATATTTTAATTGTTATTTTCTCTAACCTAACTCTATACAATGTTGTTCAATTTGACCAACCTCGTAACCACCCCCCAAAAAAAAATCTAAATTACCCTTTTTTTCTTTCTAGAATAACATCAAATTGTAACATTAAACTCGATTTGTTTATCTTAAATATTAAAACATTATTCATCTGTTATACATAAATTTTATTGTTTTATTGCCCTTTGAACCATGCCTAAACTATTATTCCTGCCATAATATTTAAAATTACTTGGTGAATGTGCAACTCAAATTACTCTATTGAATTACTTAACACACAGGCTAGTTGTGGGATACTTGCAAGCTTATCTTGTGAAAAATTGTTTTATTATTCTTTATTTTACTTAATCTAACCTAAAATGTTTCTAATTTTTACATTTTAGTTACTTTTATAATAACAAATACAGGATACACATGAAAAACAAGAAATAATGTACTTACCTGGGTCGTCATCTTTTTGCTGTTAACTGTCAATGACACTAAACCCTACTTTTTTATACTAATGGTACTACTGCAATAAATAATTTATTTATTAAAATAATACTTCAAAGAACACAGAATAATAACATAATGTGTCCCATAACTAACACAATTATTATGGCTTTCTACCAATTTTTCCTTAGGAATTCAGCTAAGCTTGTTGATGTCTTTCACTTGGGGATCAAGTTTGAGTTGGAAGTGAAACTGACAATTATCTGTGTAGAAAACATTTGATAGATTGAAACTTTGGCTTTCGATTGGTTATAAATAATATAATATTAAATATAAGAGAAAACTATTGGCAATTTATGAAAGAGAGGATGTGGGCAAGGGGTCTTATTTTTTAGTTTATGGCTCTGAAACCACATAAGATTGAAGGCTACAAAATTATGTTTTTCCTGAGCAATAACTGTATTATAACAAGTAACTCGCATGGAATAAGAGAACTTCATCCTTAAAAGTCATGTAATGTGTAATTCTCCCAGAAGAGGTCAGCTGTACTGGCAAATTAAAACACTTAAAATAAATTACAAGTAGATCAGAACTTTTAATCTTTCTAATCACAAATGGGCCATAGTAATGGGCAAGGTGACTGAATATGCAAATTTTGAACTTGTATTGTGAACAGTCAATCCTCTGTAGGTCAAAGACAACTTAATACATATGATTTCAGCATCTCTTTCTTTCCAAAGTCATATTGCAAGTTGTTTTTATGAAGTTTTACCAGGATTTAGTGGGTAAACCTTTTTTTATAGTACAACTAGATAGCATAGTAGGTTTGTTATCCTGAGCTAAGCATAAATGGAAATAACAATATATGAATGCAAATCTCAAGAGCATGTACATATAGTTTCATAACCCTCAATCAGAAGCAACACAGAAAATGTTTGGATCTAGGTGTGTAGAATCCATTTACTGGCCTTTTCTCTAACACTAAAAACCTTCTTGCTGATTGTTTTATAATTAATTGTGGCCCTGAAAAAGCAACAATGGTTAAATAGCTGAAATGAAAGGTTTTTTCATTATATTTGGGAAAGTAACATTTGTTTTTTCATGTATGTTTGATGTTTTCTTTCATATTAGAAAGCAAGGTATCTTTTGAAGATTCTGTAATTACCATAAGGAAAGATATTGTTTACATTATTTGAAACAATATACAAAGTGATAACTTCATGTTCTTGTTGTTTTAATGACCTAATGTGCTTTAAATATGCATATACATACATACATGTATGTGTGTAATAATTGTTGTTCATATCTTTGAGTGAGCCAACTAAATAAAAACATTAATTTTTCAACAAACTAGAAGTGTATCATCTCATATTTAGATTTTTTTAGAACTTGAGGTAAAAGATATTGCTGAGTTGTAAATACATTTACTGTGTGTTCAAAAATGTAGTAAAAAAAGCATAATTGTATCGGTAAAGGAGCTGATGTTAAAATTTATTATAAGGCTAATATTAAGATATATTACTGATGCATGACTTTATACTAAATTCTTGAAATGTAGTTGATATGTGATACAAAACTCTTTCTTCTTTCTGAAAAGGCTTAGAGAGTTGGAATATAATCAATTATTCATTCTGATGAGCTTTAAGGATTTACATACAAGTGATGTAAACCATTGAAAATAATTAATTTGTAGTTTATATAGGGAAAATTATAAAATCCTTTAACTCTGATACTGTTACTTTCTTGTGATTCTATGGATTTATTGGATATAGGGTTCCTTTAACATACAAAACAATTTAAGCAAAATTATCTTCAGTATTGTAATTAAACCTGCTGATTACTGCTTTTGTCAACTAAATATCTTACTTAGAAAATGATTGATTGCACCTAATTTTTTGGTCATTTCTTTACAGTGTGTGTGTGTGTGTTTTAATATGCCATAAAATTTCTTAATGTGATATGATATGTGGATCTATTTATTGTTTAAAGAAACCAGTTACGTGGCATTAATAGTTCTCATTTCCATCATATTACACCATTATGTCTTCTGATACGGCACTTCCCCTCTGCTCATAAGATTAGCTTTTATTTTGTGCTGACCTTTATATGCAATCTTTTTTTATAATGCATGCTACGAGCCTTCTGCACCCCCACTATTGGAATCAAAGGTTCTAACATGTGCCATCTATCCACCAATAAAAGAGCACTACTATCACATGATACATGTAACTCCCTCTATGGACCATAACAAAACCATCACTTCTCATTTGGCAGTGCTTAAGTTCAGACGCTTTTCTTTTTGTTCATTACTTTTTTGAAGCTTAATTTAATTTATTTAAAAAATTTTTTTCACTTTATTTTATATCCATGTTTTGCCGAAAAAAAATTCATTTCTTTGTTTGGTATCAAGCATGAATTCTGAAGTTAACGTTACCACTTCAAGTACATTTCATCTGTCTGATGCCATACCTCAGGCCACATTTGCGGGTGACATGTCAGACGATTTATCAGCCTTTATTTGCAGGGAGATTGAGTGTTATATGGCACTACCTTTATATCCTGCTGTTGCCTCTCTTCCTCCTGAGCTTTTCAAGCCTGGCTAGGCTGATGAGGATTTTGATTATTTGTTTTCCCCTTGGAGTTTGCCATGCCTTCCCAAACCCTACCTGAGGATTCTGTTTGGCCCTCGTCAGCTTTCTTGGATTTTATTTCTCGGGTATGTGATGTTTGATCTATTGCTTCTATTTCTTATAACCCATATCCTTCCCTATTACATGATTCTGCCTCCCAAATGTCCCATTCATCTTACCAATGCCCAGTATTCCCGCCTTCGTCTTACCCTGATGACTCTTTTGTGGTACCTCTTCTTGATCCATCTCTTGTCTGAGGCTGTTCACAGGAACTCTGAGGGGTTTTCTGGGGACATCCTCTCCCTCCTCATTTCCATGTTGGCCTGTCTGTCATCTTTAGTTCTGGTCCTGCAAACATGGTTTATTTGTTGTTGGGACTTCATGGGTCACGCTACCATAATGTCACAGACCTGTCTCCTGTCTCATTATCTACAGGGCCTTCATATGGCCCCATTTTTGAGATGCCTCATGTTTGATACAATCCCAGAGTCTTTAGAGTTGAAGGTCGCTTTGGTCCAACAACAATCCACCCTTTCTCATCTGGTTGCCTGTTTGCCCCAGTTGGAGCCAAGTGTGGCATCAATTCCTGTCTCCCGACCCTCCCCTTCCCAGCCCTTGCTTGTTTCTCCTTACTGCAGTGCCACTGTTTGTCATTTTTCTCGATAATGCAGGGTACGCTAAAGG